TCCGGCGGCCGCTGCGGCTCTCGCTGGGCCGTGGGTGCGGATGCGTCCGAAGCGGCGGCGGGTGGTTTCCGGTGCGCTGGCAGCTTCAAATGATTTCGTGGTCAGCAAGCCCGGAGTCTCAAACACCATGTCCCCCGTAGGCCGCTTGTCTTGTGTGGTCACCACTGGGCGGGAAAGACGACCACTCAGACTGAGACCGCTGGGGAATCAGCAGCAAACACGCTCCAAGCCGCCATTTTGTAACTCGAATCTACCCCTCAAAACCGATTCGAAAAAGAGGAAAGAAACGCCCGCCTCCGGCTATTGCGCAAGCGCACCAGAGCCTTTGGCTGCAGCCCCTCCTTCCGCGATCCTGGGGGCGTTGCAGAGCGCATGCGCAGAGACCCTTGGAAACGGTCGCCGGGAGGGGCGCTCACGTCTCACGCATGCGTACACACCGGCGCCGGCTGTAGCCGCTGGGTGGGCACAGAAGGCCGCGATGTACGTGCGTTGATCACGTGTCGGTCACCGTCTCTACCCCCGCTGGGGCCTCGCGAGGTCTGGAGCGAGTGGTCAGTCAGGGAACGTGACCGAGGCCCGTGGTGTCGCCGGGAGCTTGAGGGGTCGGACCAGACTCAGTAGACGCGAGGTAGGGGACCCTGGGACTAGCAGGGTACCCACCAGCTGCCATCTTCCTGAGTGGGGGATGGACCGTTTCCTCACCAACAGGTCACGTTTGCTTTCCTCGTTGTGTGGCGCGGAGGTGACGTTAGCCTGCCCAAAGCTTCACAACTGGTTAGGATCCGCCAAGACAAAGCCGCAGAAGCGTCCTCGAAACCTTGCGACAGCCGGGTCCGTGTCAGACTCCGGCTTCCGCGCTCTTCCTCAGGCCCTGCACTCTCCAGCTGTCTGGCAGCGGGTTAACGGCGGAGAACGTAAGGATTAGAACATTAACCAGAAGACCTGGAGAGTCCACTATGAACTTACTGATTGGGGAACCTTTTCAGAGAAGGAAGATATTTAGAGCAGGGATCGTTCACTCTCTCGGGAGAAGGTATGGCTGTACTTTGAAAGACCAGGGAAGGCTTGCATCACAGAATAATTCTGTATAAATTCCAGGGTATTTGAATCCTCCTTTAAAGCTCATTCGCAGCCCCCTCGTCAAGAACTCTTGGAGAGAAAGGAGCACATTTAGTCCGCCCTCTCTATCCATGGGTTGCATATCTGGGGATCGAAAATATCCAGGAAAAAAATTGTCTGACCTATACGGGGTTTTTTTTTCTTCTCTTTGCCATTGCTCCCCAGACAGAACAACTATTTACGCAGCATTAGCACTCTTAATATAAATTAACTAGAGATAATTTAAGGAGCCACCTGTAGTCCCAGCTACTTGGAAGGCTGACGCAGGATGGTCATCCTTGAGCCAGGATGGTCACTTGATGGGATTGAGGCCAGCCTGGGCAGCGTATTGAGTTCCCTCTCCCATCTCAAAAATAAAATATATGGCCCCTCATATGCGAGTGGACATTTTGATATCTTCAGGAGCTCCTGGGACCAATCCTCCCCCCAGCAGACACCAGATGTTGACAGTACAATGGTTAAAAAAAAAGTGGCCCTTGTGTTGGACATTTCAGAAAGTCATTTATTCCCAGCCAATACACTTATTTCCCCAAGGATAAGAAATTTATAACATCAACTTCACCACATATGTATCTGAGGATAAATATGAAAGTTGTGCACGGGAGGCCAGGCATGGTGGCGCACGTCTGTGATCCCAGCACTCGGGAGGCTGAGGCAGGAGGATCGCTGTGAATTTCAGACCAACCAGGGCTACATAGTGAGTTCTAGTTCAGTTCAATCTCAACTACATAGTGAGACCCTGTCTCAAAAAACCAAAAAAAAAGTTGTGCATGGCAGTGTGTGTGTATTGTGGTACTGAGGATTGAACCCAAGGTCTTTGCACTGTTACATCCCCAGCCCTTTTAGTTTTTGTTTTGAGACAGTCTCTCTCAGTTGTTGAGTTGCCTAGACTGAAACTTGCGGTCCTCCTGCTTCAGCCTCTCAGAGTGCTGTTATACAGGTGGGCACTCCCACACCCAGCTGGTACATTTGTATTTTGACAAAATTTTCATGCCATCTTGGTGACTTGCATAGCTGTTCACTGCACATGAAAAGTAATCAGAGAATGCTGACTCTCGGTTTTCCATCACTGTAACTAGATACCTGAGGCTTGGAAGCTATCCAAAGAGGCTTATTCTCACCATACTGGAGATTCAAGAGCCTGGCCTCAATATCTGCTTAGTGCTCAAGAAGGCTTCCTTGTTGTTGGCCTCACAAAGACAGAGAGTTCACGTGGCGGAGAGGAAGCCAGTGTACAGCTAAGCTTTTTTTTTTTTTTAACAGCCCTCCTGAGAAATAACTTGGTGTCCTACTAAAACTATTTTAGTCTCTTCTAAGGACGGCTCCCAGTGACCTAATGATTTTCCACCAGGTTATACCTCTTAAAAGATCCCACCGCAAAACTGCCTTCCTGAGGACCAAGCCAACAACACACCTTGGCAGCCAAGCCACATCCAAACAGTATCAAAGAGGATGTCTCAAAGAGAGGTCTTAGTGGTGTGTTCTCCAGTGTTTTTGTTTTAATGAACAAACAACAAAAACAACTCAGAACAGACTCTTCAGGGTGCTAAATAACTTGCCAGAGCCGGCCGCTTTTCCTGAAAAAGGTAGGACTGCCAATTCTAGCCATTACCCCCTTCCACATGCTCTTGCAATAAACATCGAATATTATGCATAGGTTTATAGTGCAAAGCCATGCTTGGTAGCTCATTTTTCCACTTGTCCCTTGTCCTTCAGATGACCCTTCTAAACCATTATCACTTAAAGCTTTCTACCTGCCTTCCTCGATATCCCTCCACCTACTTTTTTTTTTTTTTTTTTTTTTTTTTAAC